GAGAGGAAGCTTTCAGGAGTTTGTTCTCAACTCCTGTGTGTTTAAGACAGCGTCCCTTGTGTCTTCTCTGGGACTATGTATTCAAGGCTAACTGGGCCTCAAGCTTTCAAACAATTCTGTCTCCATCTCCTAGGAGTTCTGGGATTACAGGTGCCTGCCACCACATCTAACTTTTTCATAGATTCTGGGGTTCATACTCTGCTTATCGGGCTTGTTTGGTTAGCTATCTCCCTGTCCTCCAAATCATAAATTTTAAATAGAAAACTTAAAATATGCCAGAAAGGTCAATATAAATGGCTGCAATTTGACCCTGTGTTTCCTGGAAGTAAGGGAACTATGGTCAGATGTATGCTTTTTTAATTTATGTGTGTGTGTGTCTGAGTGAGTGTGTGCCAACTGTGTGCAGGTGCCTCTGGAGGGCAGACGATCCCCATGGAGCTGGAGTTATGGGTAGCTGTGAGCCCTCTGATCTGGGTGCTGGGACCTGAACTTGGTTTCTCTGGAAGAGAAGCAAGAGCTCTATGCTGCAAACTTTTATTTCAACTGGACACAAACTGAAGCCATCTGAGAGGAGGGAACCTCAATTAAGAAAACGCTTCCGTTAAATCAGTCTGTGGACAAGTCTGAAGGGCATTTTCAAAATTGATAATTGATGGGGGTGGGCCTAGCCTCTTGTGGGTGCTACCATCCTGGGCTGGTAGTCCAGGATTCTATTAAGAAACCAGGATGAGAAAGCCATTGAGAGCAAGCCAGTAAGCAGCACCCCTTCATGGCCTCTGCATCAGCTCCTGTCATCAGGTTCCTGCCCTGTTTGAGTTCCTGTTCTGACTTCCTTTGATGATGAACGCTGATATATGTAGAAGTGTAAGCCGAATAAGCCCTTCCTTCTCCAACTTGCTTTTGGTCATGATGTTTCATCTTGGCAATAGTAATCATAATTAGTACAAGCTCTTAACCACTGAGCCATTTCTCCAGCCCCCAAAACATAGTTTCTATTACTATAGAAAAGTACATACTTTGTTTCAGAAAAAATAAAGCTTTTGTCAGCAATAAATTTAAGAGTTGGCAATTTTGTCTTTTTTGTTTGTTTTGGTTTTTTGAGGCAGGGTCTCTCTACATTGCTCTAGATGCCCTGGAACACACTATGCAGTCCAGTCTGGCCTTGAATTCACAGAGATCCACCTGCCTCTGGCTTCTCAGTGCTGGGATTAAAGGTGTGTGCCACCACTCTCGGCTTTAAAATGTCATTTTAAATAATAGTCACTGATAAAAGCCATGGACATATAAGGAAAGAACTTATTAAAAGACAATGTTAATTTTGACTCTTAAAGGTGGATAAGAAGTGATGAGGTTTTTGTGATTCAGGTTTTCTTAAATTAATTTTTATTTTATGAGTATGGGTGTTTTGCCTGCATATATGTATGCCTTTGTACCACATGTATGCTTGGTGCCCTAGGAGGGCAGAAGATGGCATCAGATCTCCTGGAACTAGAGTTATAATTGGTGTGAACCACCATGCGGGTGTTGGAAATTAAACCCAGGTGCTCGGGAAGAGCAGCCAGTTTCTGAGCCAGGTCTGTTTTCCAGGTTGCTGTGTGGATTATAATAGTCTTGGTTCAGCTGTATTTTACCAGTCTTGATATAAGTGATGAAGCCCATAGTGCTGGAACATAGTTTTCACTTCATTTTAAGTTCAATAGAGCTTTTTATGGGGATGGTAGAGTTAGGTTTTATTTGTTTGTTCGTTCTGGTGCTAAAGATGCAACTCAGGCCTTTGTTCACTAGCCAGAGCTACATAATGAGACCCTGTATCAAAAAAAAAAAAAAAAATGCAAAAGACTGTATACCGAGAGCTCACAGATAGGATCACTTACATCACAAAAAGAGAGTTCACAGGCCAGTGGAGCTCAGTGACAGAACACTAGTGAACAAAGGCCTGGAAAACAGACTTAAGTACTTAAAAAACTTTGGCTTCTAAGAAGCAGTCTTCCCATTCCTAAAAACAGAAGCATTCTAGCTTATGCTCTAGAGAGTTAACAGAAAGAGACTTTGTCTTGCCTTCTATGTCCGCATGGAAGATTAAATGCTAAGGGGCTAGAGTGTTGGCTCCATTGGTAAAGAGTTAACTGTGCAAGTATGAGGACTCAGTTTTGAACCCCTGAACACACACTAAGAAGCTAGAAGTGAAACTGTAAAACACAGAGACGGGTGCATCTGTGGAACTATCTGGCCTCCGGATTCACCTAATTTTGTGAGGTGTAGGTCCTAGTGAGAGACACTGTCTTAAAACTCAAGGGAGACAGCTCCTAAGAAATGATATCTGAGGCTGATCTCTGGCTTAATATATGTACACACATATATATAACATGTGTACATGCACTTGTGTATACACACATGACTTTAAATTCTAGGGCCTTGTAATAAAGTAGGATAAAATACCTGGAAAACACACACACACATACACACACACACACACACACACACACACACACACACACAGAGTCATATTACCAATATGATGAATGTTTTCCTTGATGACTTCACACTCTATTGGCCATCTTGGAGCCTGCAGTGGCCCCTGACTAGAAAAAAATGAGAAGAGCTCTCGGGGTTCTCGAAGACGTGGGTTCACTTCATCCAGTTCATCATAAAGAAGCTGTCTGCTCCGAAGAAGTGGTGAACTCAGCATAAGTGAGTCTGCCCAAAGGAAGAGGAACTATGTGAACACCTTTCTTTTCACCTTGAGGGCTTCACTGCTTTTCTATAGTAACTAGATAATTTTAAACAGAATATTAAGACATTAGCAAGCTGGGTGTGGTAGTGCACAGTTTTAACCCCAGCCCTCAGGAGGCCGAGGCAGGCAGATTTCTATGGGCTCAAGACCAGCCTGGTCTACAGAGAGTTCCAGGCTAGCCAGGAATATATAGTGAGATGCTGCTGAACCACCCCCACCAATAAAAAGGTTAAAAAAAATAGATAACAGATAAAATTATAAACTATTAAATTAAAATTCTGCATAATCTAGATTGTTAAAAATCAAGTTAATGGGTCCAAGATCTCTCAACAGTGAGCTACATAATACTTAATATGCCTTATTATTATTTTGTATTTGTTCAGGGTCAAAAGAGGACTTTCAATTCTCATATCAGCACTATGGGGTAAATCACGGAAAACTTCATTAACTATAGAGAAAGAAGTGCAGACTTAAATTCAATCTCCAGAACACAGGCAAAAAGGTGGGGCATGGTGACCTATGCTTATGGACAGCATTTCTGAGGGTGGCACCCAATGTTGTCTTTCAGCCTACACACACTCGAACACACAGGAACAAATGCATATGTATGCAGTCATGTGGGTACACAAACTTTAAAAAAAGGCAGAGGTAGCTCACACCTTCGTTCCCAGCATGAGGTAGGCAGAGGCAGGCTGATCTCTGTGAGTTCAAGGCCAGCCTGGTCTACAGAGTGAGTTCCAGGACAGAGCTACACAGGGAAACCCTGTCTGGAAAAGCAAAAACAAAACAAAACAAAAAAGACAGACAGTAAGAAAGAAACAAAGAGAGAGGGGAAGAAAGGAAAGAAAAAATGATAAAAGAATTCCTAAGCGCTGGGAATTCCCAATAACTGAGAATTACCAATTACCAGTTGGTGAACTGTTTGCCATGCAAGGATGAGGACATGAATTCAGATGCCCAGAACTCATGTAAGAAATAGGCACATCTGTAAATAACTCCAGTTTGAGGAGGGTCAGAGGAAGGTAGATCTCTGAAGCTTACTGGCCAGACATTGAGTTCCAAGTTCAGTAAGAAGGACCTTGTCTCAAAAAATAAGGTTGAGAGGGAGAGATAAAGACATAGAGCATTGACCTCTGGCCTTTAAACATGTCATGCACCCGCAAAAACATATATAAGCATACAACCATGCAAACACACATTAAAAAAAAAAAAACTATAGTAAAGGCTGGAGAGATGGCTCAGAGGTTAAGAGCATTGATTGCTCTTCCAGAGGTCCTGAGTTCAATTCCCATCAAACACAAGGTGGCTCACAACCATCTATAATGAGATCGGATGCCCTCTTCTGGTGTGCAGACAGACATGCAGACAGAACACTGTATACATAATAAATAAATAAATCTTTTAAAACAACAACAAAAACTATATTAGCCAGGCTGTGGTGGCACTCACCTTTAATCCCAGCAGTTGGCAGGCAGAGGCAGGGGGATCTCTTCGAGTTTGAGACTAGCCTGGTCTACATAATGAGTTCCAGGATAGCCAGGGCTGTTACATAGAGAAACCCTGTCTTGAAAAACAAACAAAAACTAGAGTGAAGCAATTGAAAAACTGAATTTCAGGCCTGTGCTATACTTATCTGAAGCTCAATACCTCGGTTCACAGCGTCTACCTGAGTGTGCCCAGTTGAAGATAAACAGGTAGGCCCTAGAAAGAAAGAAGGAAGCACCGTTTGTTTGTTTGTCCAGTGTCTCCCATCTCCTTTTATTTTTTTATCCCCACACTACCCCCTCATCTCTATATAAACCTTTACTCAATAATTAATGGGTGAGACAATTAACATTTGAAAAGATGGCAAAGTGAAAACAAAAGAAAGCCAGAGACTGGAGGGAGGGCTCAGGGATTAAGAGTGAATTCTTGTAGTATACTGGGGTTCAGTTTCCAACGCCAAAGGGCTGGGGAGCTCACAGCCTCCTGTAACTCCAGCTAGGGGACCCAACTGTGGTCTCATGTACACATACCTACACAACATACATACACATACACATGACTTAAAAATAAAATCATTTGTTTGTTTTTCCAGACAAGAGTTTCTCTGTGTAGCCCTGATTATCCTGGAACTCTCCCTGTAGACCAGTCTGGCCTCAAACTCACAGAGCTCCACCATCTCTGTCCAGCCTCCCCCAAAGTGCTGGGATGAAAGCTGTGTGCCACCACCATCAGCAAAAAATAAAATCTTAAAAAGATTTATGTTGGGTATAGTGGGGGATGCCTTAAGTCCCAACATTTGGGAGGCAGAGGAAGGCAAATGCTGTGAGTTTGATGCCAGTCTGGTCTACCTAGTAAGTTCCAGGCCAGCCAGGGCTACAAGTTGGACACTATCTAAAAAATGTATAATACATATATAGCAGCACATATACACAATGCTGTAGTGTGCCCAGGCAATGGAAGCAGGAAGCTCAGGGCTTCTAAACCAGCCTAGGCTACATAACAGGACAGTGCCTCAAAAAGTCAAAAAGTTGGACCGGGCAGTCGTGGCACATACCTTTCATCCCAGCACTTTGGGGGAGGGTGGACAGAGATGGTGGAGCTCTGTGAGTTTGAGGCCAGACTGGTCTATAGAAGTTCCAGGACAGTCAATGCTATTACACAGAGAAACCCTGTCTCGAAAAACCTAAAAAAAAAAAAAAAAAAAAAAAAAAAAGGGCTGGAAAGATGGCTGCTCTTCCAGAGGACCTGAGTTCAATTCCCAGCAGCCACATGGTAGCTGACAATCATCTGTAATGAGATCTGGTGCCCTCTTCTGGCATCCAAGCAGAACAGTGTATACATGATAAATAAATCTTAATAAATAAATAAATAAACAAACAAATAAATAAATAAATAAATAAAAAAGACCAGTGTGATCTACAGAGTGAGTTCCAGGACAGCCAGGGATACACAGTGAAACCCTGCCATGGGGGGGAAAAAAAATCAAAAGTTGGAGATATAGCTGTTGCCTTCCATGCACAAGACCCTGAGTTTGAACCATAACTCTCTCTCTCTCTCTCTCTCTCTCTCTCTCTCTCTCTCTCTCTGTGTGTGTGTGTGTGTGTGTGTAATTTGCCTTACAAAAGTTTTTCAAGATATATATAAAGATGAACATTACATTGTGTCAAGTCATGAAAAAGGCAGAAGCAACCAAGCTAGCCATCAAAAAGGAAGCTAAAATAATAATGGCACATTAATGAGAAGTAATACTAACAATATCTTCAGGAAGAGTGAAGTTGATGCGGGGCATGTTGGTATACACCTGTGATTCTAGTTTCTTTCAATTTCATCTTTTATTTTGTTAGTGGAATTTATTTCTAAATAGCAGTGTTTTTGTTTTTTGAGATAGGATAGGCCAACCTGACCTCAAACTTAGCATGTAGTCAAGACTGGTCTGAATTCTTAATTCTCTCTTGTCTCTGCCTCCAGAAAGCTGGATATGTGCCATCACACCCAAGAAACAAATTGAAACTTTTGTTCTAAAAATTATTGCCAATATACTTTATGACTTTTGAATTGGTGATGGTCATTGCTATGCTCAAAATAGATTGGAAGCAGATAATTGGAACAAGAGAAGAAACTGGGAGGTCAATTAGAAAGCCAACGATGGCAGCTTGGATCCCAGTAGGGGCAAGCCTGGGAGATGGTGCAAAGAAAACAGAAATGAATGGAGGTTTGGTTACATTTGTATGATGGATACATTAAGCTGCTTTCCAGCCCTAGGATTTGAGATGTTACCTGAATTCCTACAAAAAAGTCCTTTTGACCTCCCATCTGTATAGCAATGGAAACCGTCACAGGAAACCACTACTTGACATAGTGCAGAGCTCCATGCATTGTGAGGAGCCCACCCCCCAAAGGATATGTCTACATCTCAGCTCCTGCATCTATAGCTCAGGAAACACTGCTCAAGATAGGGTGGGAAGATTGTATAAGCCAGAGTACCAGGATGTCTGCCATGAAAGTCTCTGCTAGAAATGGCTGCCAAAACAAGACCCCTGAGCAATGGCGACATCAACAGATGGGCTAAGGGGGAAATCTCACCCCTGCACAAAGAACTGTAGGCAACTAAGGCACAGAGAGGGGAAATTAGCTTCTCCCAGGAGTGAGCTCCCTAAATGGTTTCCCAGTACAAAGGGGTCAGCCCTGAAACCATATGCACACAAACAACAAAAAAGGGCTCAGAAGGTTGTATTTATACTTATGCATACATATACATAAAGTAACAACAATAATCAAAGAAAACAAGGCTATTTAATGTGAGAGTTGGGGAACATGGAAGGGGTGAAGGGAGGGGATTTAAGGGGAGCTGGAGGGAGGAAAGGGAAGGGGTAAAGTGATAAAATGGTATTTTAATTAAAATGTGTAACACTGCTTTAGTTTACGTTCGATGGATTTGCTTTCTTCTACTCTTTTTTTTTAAAAAAATTTATTATGTATACAGTATTCTGTCTGCATGTATCCCTGCAGGCCAGAAGAAGGCACCAGATCTCATTATAGATGGTTATGAGCCATCATGTGGTTGCTGGGAATTGAACTCAAGACCTCTGAAAGAGCAGCCAGTGCTCTTAACCTCTAAGCCACCTCTCCAGCCGGCTTTCTTCTACTCTTAAGCAAAGCCCCCTAATCAGTTAACCTCAACAACAGCAATTCAATGTGAAAAACGGGTTCTCTTCATGAGGGTCCTAACAGATGTTCAAAAAACTGGAGGAGAAAAATCCAAAATGTACAGAATTTTAATTTAAACCTATAATCCAAGTCAATTTAGAGCACAGTTTTGGAGCTGGAGAGATGGCTCAGAAGGTAAAGCCTTGATTACCTGAGCTTGATTGCTAGAGCAAAAACTGGAGGCAGGAGAAAGTCAACTCCCACAAACCTCAATGTGCTGTGTTCATGGTATGTCTATACACACACACTACATGAAAAATAACAACCAAACAACAAACCCTCAAAAAACTAAAATAAATTAACAAAAAATCAAAACAAACAAACAAACAAAACAAAACTAGGAGCTTGGGTTGGTTGCTTTGCTTCTCCCACATTTGGTCATGTTCTCATAGGTTCCTGGAGTTTTCAAGGCAGTCAGGTTCTGGGAGTGGGTAGAGAGGCTGGTGAGGTTACTCACATAGAAACATCTCTTTTCCAAGGTCCAAGGTGTCCGAGACCAGATCATCTTTTTCTCCAAAAGAGCCATTCAACATGTACCGAGGGCTAGTCTTCCAAATACGCTGGTGAGTAGCAGAATTTGGTAGATTGCCTTTCTGGGCTAAGAGTAAGTGGTTTAGTTCAAGTTGCTTGTAGGATGGCTCAGTATCCCTAGTGCTGAAGTCAATATAAAAAATCCCAACCACTCAAACTATGGCTTTTATTACCACTGTCCATCACAGGCTTTTATAATAACACATCCCATTTTTAAAGGATCTCTTACATTCCAATTTATTCAAAGTGAGAATAATTATTCCCATTTGACAAGAGAGGAAAGAGCACAGATTAACACCATAATGGTGGCTTTATAATGGTATTTAGAAGGCAGAAAAACTCAGTGGCTCTAAGAGCTGCTAAGAGAGCCAAAGCTAAGTGAAGGTACCAGAGTGGGAACAAAGAATTGTGTTGTAGGCATAAGTTTCTGTAACACCAACAGTTCCCGCCCCCCAAAAAAACACTGAGGCTTATATTAATTATAAATGCTCTGCCAATAGCTCAGGCTTGTTACTAGCTAACTCTTACATTTAAATTAACTCATATTTCTTATCTATGTTTTGCCACGTGGCTTGATACCTTTTTTCAGTACGGCATGCCCATATTGCTTCTCTCTGCTTTTGTTGGTGACTTCAGACTCTGCCCTTCTTCCCCCTAGTAGTCTCAGTTTGGCTCTCCCACCTAACCTTATCCTGTTCAGCTATTGGGCAGTCAGCTTCTTTTTTTTGGAGGGGGGTGGTTCAAGGGTTTCCTCTGTAGCTTTGGAGGCTGTCCTGAAACTAGCTCTTGTAGACCAGGCTGGTCTCCAACTCACAGAGATCTGCCTGCCTCTGCCTCCCGAGTGCTGGGGTTAAAGGTGTTTGCCACCACCGCCCGGCCAGTCAGCTTCTTTATTAAACAAATCCAGCAACATATATTCACACAGTGTAAGGAATATTGCACATCGTACCAAGAGCCTTTTTTTTTTTTCACTATAGGTCTTACTATGTAGCCCTGACTGTCCTGGAACTCACTATGTAGACTAGAATGGCCTCAGAGTCATAGAGATCTGTCTGTTTCTGCCTCCTGAGTGAGATTAAAGGCATTCACCACTACACCCAGCTTCAAAAGCCTTTGTCTACTAAGGAAATTTATTGAATCTGACAAACTGAAGTTCTCTTTTCAACAAATTAGTAATAAAGTAGCAATTGCTAATAATAATAATGTTGAACAAAGTTGTCAGAATATTAAGAATACTAAGTTGCCATAGTGGGTAGACAAGGTAATAGGATTGCAAGTTTGGAGCCAACTAGACTACATGGCAAGACTTTGTCTCAAAAGGCCAAGAGTTGTAGATCTAGCTCAGTGGTAGAACACCTACCTACTTAAGTTCAAGGCCCCAGGCTTGCACCCAGAACTGCAAAAACAAAGCTATATATTGAGGTGGAAACCAGCCTGGATTACAAATGACCCTGTCTCAAAAGACAAAAAATAATAAACAAAAATAAAAACTCACCTGGCATGGTGGTACATGTCTTTAGTCCCAGAACTCAGGAGGCAGAGGCAGGCAGATCTCTGAGTTCAAGGCCAGCCTGGTCTACAAAAGTGAGTTCCAGGACAGCTAGAGATGTTGCACAGAGAAACACTGTCTCAAAAAACCAAACCAAACCAAATGTCACACTAGGAAATTGATGTCTGGCTGGCAAGACGGCTCATGGAGAAAATGTAGTGGCTGGAAAGACTGAGGACCTGAGTTGGATCCTTGGGGATGAAGTTGGAAAGAGAGAACCAACTCCTGTAGGTGGTGCCATTACTGGGATGGTGGGTTCTTTTTTTGGAACTCATTCTGTAGAGCAGTCTGACCTTGAACTCAGAGATCTGCCTGCCTCTTTCTCACAAATCCTAGTATTAAAGTTGTGTGCCACTAGGCCCTGCTGGTCTTAGATTATGTAAGAAAGAAGAATGAACAAGCCTGTAAGCAGCACTCTTCCATGGTTTCTGCATCAGCTCCTGCCTCCAGGTCCCTGTCCTGTTTGAGTTCCTTTCCTGACTTCCTTCAAAGATGGACTACAATATAGATATGTAAGCCAAATAAATTCTCTCCTCCCCAGTTTGCTCTTTGGTATGGTGTTTCATCGCACAATAGAAATCCTAAGACACACACAAAAAAATAAAAATAAATCTTTTTTTAAAGGCATTTAACTTGTCAGCCTGATCTACAGAGCAAGTTCTAGGACAGGCTCCAAAGCCATACAGAGAAACCCTGTCACAAAAAAACAAAACAAACCAAAAAGGCATTTAACTTGTAATGTGGCTTGAATGAGAATGGCTTCCATAGGTTCATGTGTTGGAATAATTCATGGAACTGCTTGGGAAGGATTAGGAGGTGTGACCTTATTGGGAGAGGTGTGTCACTGGGGATAAGCTTGAGGTTTTAAAAGACAAGCCATTTCAATGTACTCTTGTCTCCAGGAGATGTGAGTTCTCAGCTATCCCTGCTGCTAAGCCTTTTTTTCCATCATCATGGACTCTAACTCTCTGGAACCATAAATCCAATTAAATGCTTACTTTTATAAATTGCCTTGTTCACAGTTTTAATCACAGCGATAGAAAAGTAACTAATACAACTTAGGAGGCAAAGGTAGGAAGATTGCAAGTTTGAGGCTAGTCCAGATGAACTATGCAGTTTTAGGATGTAACCCTGTCTTTATATTAAAAAACAGATAACATTTATTAGCTGGGCGTTGGTGGTGCACACCTTTAATCCCAGCACTCGGAGAGACAGAGGCAGGCGGATCTCTTGTGAGTTCAAGGGCAGCCTGGTCTACAGATCAAGTTCCAGGACAGCCAAGGCTGTTAGGCAGAGAAACCCTGTGTGTGTGTGTGTGTGTGTGTGTGTGGCAACAAAAAGAGATTTCAAGGTGCAAAGGATTGAATGTAGCCCCTGAGTAATGTTAAACAAGTGTTCTACCACTGAGCTACACCCTTAGTCCCTAGTGATTTTCCCCCCTAATGATTTTTTAATGTCTCAAACTAATTTTAAAATTTACATAAAGAGGACTTGAGATGCCCCTTAGCAGAGTACTCGAATAGCATCCCATATTGAACCATAAGAAGAAAGAAAAGCAAAGACTCAAGAAAAGGCAAGACACTTTTGGACAACAAGGTGAAAAGAAACGACTCTCCAGATATTAAGACTATAAGAGCTAGGCATAGAGGTGCAAGAGGTTAAGACAGGGCAGCAAGTTTCTTGCCTTCCTGGACTACATAGTGAGGCATCTAAATAAGAAACTATTTTAATGTCACACGGCAATTGAGAGATGGTAATTATTGGTGCACCAGTGAAAAATAGGCCAATAAACTAAAGAGCCTAGAAGAGACACTTGCACTTTTGTACATAGTGAGTCTGTCCCTAGACAGAGGTGACACCACAGTTCAATAGGGGTAGGAAGTACTTTTCAACTAATTGACTAGAAAAAGTATTCGAGTCTTATCCAGACACAGTTCTTTCAGTTAATGTAACAATTCAGCTTGGCGAGGCTGGGAAAGAACGAAGTATTACCTTTAAAGTAGCCATAATACTGCAGGTGATGGTGCATAAAATCCTCATAGGGGTCAGGAAGAGTCTGCAAGAAACGGCCTTCTCAAGGACACTTTACTCAGATGACACTGAGTTCTCAGCAAAAAGTGCCAAACATGCTTCATAGGATACGGTACAAAACAAGCGAAATCCATGCAAATATCGAATTAGTCTATCTTGGGAATCATGATCTCCAACGGGTAAGGAGCACACTAGTAACCCCAGCACCAGGGAAACGGAGGTAGGAGGGGCAAATTCAAGGCTAGTCGGGGCAACATAGTGAGTTCCGGGCCAGCCTGGGCTACAAAACAAGGTCATATTACCCACCTTCCTCCCAAAAAGCCAATTACAAAAGAAACCTCTAGCTGGACAGCATGCCACACAATGAACCTTTTGACTTAGGAATTGGTTTCTGTGAAGTTATTGGAAAGGGGAATGTACCGACCTCCTGCTTTAGCTCTGTTTCCAACGCAGGGAACATGTTTCTACCGCACAGTACGATGTAGGCCAGTCAGTAGCTCCGCACCCGGCTGCAACCTCTGCCTAATTTCCAAAAGGGTAGCCTGATTACACAGAAGCCTCAAATCACAGCAGGAAAAGTGAAAAGAAACCTGTCCAACCGCACAGCACCACCAAACAACACCAAATCTGCCTGCCCTGCCCTTCCACACCCACCCAGCACCGCCTCGGGGACCCCTTGTCAACCCAGCAGACGGTTCCCAGCGCGCACCTGAGGAGTCGCGGTGCCCTGCGCATCCCCGCGCCTCGTCCTCTGGACTCACCGGGACCGTCGCTGGTCCCATGCTTAGCTTACGCTGGGAAGAGATGCCCGACGGCGGAACGCCACAGAGAAAGGAAAGGAACCGGGTGGGAGGCACGTGCCGAGTCGCCTCAGAGCAGTTGAAAAGGAAAGGTCAAGGGTCGAAAGCAGGGCCCTGGAAACGTCCCGTCCTGAGCGTCCTGCCCCTGAGGTGTGCACCGCGGTGGGGACAGTCCAAGGGAGGGCGAAGCAGCTTCCACCGGAGCCC